TACATTTAGCCTCTCTCAGATCAGCGCCTGTGTAATTTACAGGAGTAACAGGTTAGATTGACCTAGCTATAAATGAGAAAGATACATCACAGCTGGACATCTTCACCAGTCTGGAAGCCTTCGCCAAGCTTCTCCAAGCTTTTAAAACACAAGGTATGATTTTCAACAGTGTTTCTACCTTTTTTCCTCCCAGCAGTGAAAGAGAAACAATGTGCCTACTCATCCTGCTACGATCCATCGGAGGGGCACCCTGGCTTCCTCTCTCTCCAAGCTGAGAAGATGTTGTCTCCCTTTCCACAAAGCTATTTCCAGAGCCTATTTACTGGTTCATTCAAGTCTAGACTTTCTAATTTTGCAGCATAATCTGTAGTTCAGTCACCCATGAAACTGCTGAACAGCCTACAATTGTGTGCAAATCCGCACCGTGGTTTGTGCTGTCTGAGCTCAGGTACGGTCATTACCAATGGCACACAGCGCTTTAAGGGGCGGCTCCTTAAACCTGCCAGGAGCATTTGCCAGAAAAATACAACTCTTCCTCTCCTTTCCTCCCCCTTAAATAGTTTAATTAATACCATCATCCTAGCTTCGACTCCAGAAAGTGACAAAAGCAGGGATACCGAGGAGGAGACAGATGCAGCATAGGAGGTGGTGAGCTGGAAGGGAACCCTTGCTTCCTTGCCTTCATTTAACCGGCACTGCCTGGTGCGGGGCCATGCTCCCACTCCATCCCCCAGGCTCAGGCAGCACAAGGGACCCGACACCCAGCAAAAGAACTCCCAAAGGAACAGGAGACAAGATCAGAGGGTACATCCCACCGGCCACAGTATGCCTGGTCTTCTCCAGAGGGAAGGTAGATGGCTTCCCTTGCAGAGGGCTCAGGCAGCCGCTGACACCGGCACGGCTCAGGCAGCCGCATGAGAGGAGAGGGGGAACTCCTGCCCTCAGCCATGAGAGTCCCCATCCCTGGAGGTATTTAAAAGACATGTAGACATGGTGCTTGGGGACATGTTTTAGTGGTGGAAGGGCAGCGTTAGGTTAACAGTTGGACTTTATGCTCTTAAAGGGCTTTTCCAACCTAAACGATTCCATAATTCTATGAGAGCTCTTGCATCAGCTCATGCCAGCTCGTGAAAGCGAGCCCTAAGGAAAGGACCCAGGCTGAGTCACCCGCAGCATCTGGCCTTCTGCATGAGCACACAGGAAAAGGCTGCCCTGTGGTCAGGGCCAAGGCAATGCCCCAGTGAGACTAAAGCGACCCCGAAGCAACATCTTCCCCACCCTTGAGATAATCAGATTTGCTTTCTCCCATGACTTCCACATTTGCCGAGTGTACTTTGTCACACACGAGTTGCAAGCAGAGCTACTTGCAGTAAGAAGGGCACACCTCGCCTGCCATGCAAGTCCACAGGCGCCCGCTGAGGTGTTATTCAGGCACACTTGTCCCTGCTCAGGGCTCCTGCACCTCTTCCCCTCCCACTCGGCCTGTCCAAGAGAAACTGCTCACAGGACCGGCTTGGGGCTTTCCACCCCAATGGGTAAGCTCAAACCCCCTCTTCTTCAGCTGGGCAGCAGGCTATGGTGCCGTGCATCCAACCGTGCTGAGCCAGCAGGCGCAGGATGCTTGTCCCTCCTCCCTGGCTTGCATGCAGCAACAGATTGTGGAACAAAAGGCACCCTCAGAAAAATAAAAAAATAATTAAAAAATAATCACTTTTCCTCTGCTTTCTCTTAAACAACCTGTCCTCCTCCAGC